TTTGGAGTTATGATCGAACATCAAGACAGCCTTTTTGTGCTCGGAAACCCGCGTCTTCAGTGATCTTTCGGTCTGGCCATAGTATACAAAATCGCACTGACTGCATTTGATTCTGTACACTACNTTCTTCTTTGCCATATAATAAACATCTTATTAACCAAGCTAAGTCGGTCTGTATGGGAGAATCTTGACCTTGGTCATGAGTACAGACCTCACTGCGTTCAGTCTCTACTCACGACCTCGGTCAAGATTCTCCCATACAGACCTCCTGCACAGTTAATAAGAGCTAAGTACAGCATCTTCTTGTATGCTTAGGATTTTCAGCCACTTTGTTTTTGTTTGGATCGCACTTTATTCATCTGGTAGGGAGTGAATAATGCTTATTAGCCAGAGATAGCGAACCAGTCAGATTGCTTGAAAAAACCAAGGTCACTGAGTGTGTATATACTGATACATTTTGTTTACTATTTCTTGTAGTTGTTTCTTTCTTAATCATCCTAGGTGAATCCTCATTGAAGAACTTAGTAATATATATTTCACAGTATCATTTTAAAATTCATGTTAATAATAATAGTTCCATGTTATTTCCTGCTTTTTGTTTAAAATCATAACTTAATGTGAAAATTTGCTAACTAAGGTATTGCTTGATAAGAAGGATGTTTACCAGCAACTTAGCAAAATAGCAGCCATTGGAGAGCAGATGTACTGTAAACATCTGGTGACTAGCCATCCCACATTTCAATTTTGTTTACATGTAGGAGCCCTTCCTGATATCAGCCCATGTATTTATACAGCTGCATAAAATGAATACCTTGTTAAAGGTCTGATTGCAGTGATCAGGCTTGTTTTAGGAAGTTTAAGGTATTTTTAACTTTGGGAAAGTTTCTTAGGATTTTGTACACTAAGTAAAGAGGCATATTTGTAGCACCTGCATTGTGCCTGATGCACGTTAATGATATGTGATGAGCAACTGTGCAATGAAGCCTCAATGTCTCTATAATATTTTGCTTGTATAACATTATTAGTCATTGTATATACAGGGTCTTGATTCCACGCAAATACCCTTCATCTAGATATGCTACTTTAATACTTTAAATTGTTAGTTTCTCAGGGAGCATTCTGTTTTAGTTTCACAATATTTTCATCCTTGTTGTCTCTTACATATTTTCGTTGTGTAGTTACACTTTCGTTTTGTCAAAACATGATTTAAGTACATTTAATTGAATCACCCAGGGAAATTAAAAGTGCTTCATTGATCTGTAACTCACGGCTAACGTGACGTATCGTGACGTCAGAATCGGAAAAGTGTTGGTATAATCTTAGCAGAGTTTGAACCCAATTAGTGTTGTACTAGTATTTTTCTTACGTTACTTTACAGACTCCGTTATCACATCGTACGTTATTCATATTTTCTATATACATTACGTTAGACGAAGAAATAAAAATATAGCTGTGCCATCATATATGTGCTGCATTGTTATTTAAAGGTAATTCTTTTGCATCGCACGGCATGCTGAAATTGGCCCGTTGGCACGAAAAGTTTTGTTCCACACATTAGAGCAAACTGTGCAAGCAGGCAGTCATGGCTAACATCAGGCATTATGTCTTACCTTGATATAGCATATTTAATCTAAAAGAGGATGACATAGTTTTGCAAATTCAAACGTGAACTTCCCCCCGAGGGAGTAATTTACAAAGTTCTATACGGGAAGGCTCCACCCCGAAGTCCAACCCCTTACGCTTTTGCATACCAATTTGACAGCCGAGGTAGCCTTTCGTATTCCTTTAATTGAAAAAAAGGTACATTTCACATACTTTCATAGCTGGCCTGTATTATGAATAACTCGCCAAAAAAGGAACACTTATCATTTTCGTGTAGTGCCTAGTAAATGCAATGATACAGCCACAAGGTGCGTCTGTTTGAAAGATTTCAGTGAAAAGCCCTTTCAAATAACTAAATGACCGATTTCCCTACCTTTTCATACACCTCGACTTCTGAAATCCCTACCCTTTTATATACCCGAAGCCTGAAACAGGTACTCCTTTCGCGCAGAGCCTCCCCGTATGGGCCATTATACACTATCATTGATGAGAAACTGTCCAAAACAGGTTTGCCTTCTGTAACGAGTTTCCCGGGGTTTTACCCGTGATGCACATTGTCGAAATCCGTGAGTTTGTGAAAGCAAGACGTTACGCATTCAAGAACAGAAAAAAGAAAGTGTAAGCTACTGATTGTTTATTATGCTACATAAGCAGGGGCGTAGCCAGGATTTTTCAAAGGAGGAGGGGGCACACTGTGTCAAAGTGAGGGTACTCACCCGATTGTCATGTTGTTTTCACTACCTGTTGCAGGTTGTTTCCTTAAAAAAGGCTTACAAAAAAACCCAATTTATTAGCTATTGATTTTTGCTAGATGGTAGATGATTCGACCTTTGCTATCACTTCAACTATGGCCTCAAAAACCTCGAGATCATGAGCTATTTCGGTGTCATCTTTAATTTTGTTGCGGGATAATCGAATTTAAGGTTTGCACTGGCTCCCTCTACATCAGCCCGTACATCAGCTTTCGACTCAGTAAACCTTTTATCGATTGAAGTAAATATTTATTATTTGGAACCAATGATTCGAGGCTGTTTTGATACCTCTGATTAGAAAGTTATTTCCTCGAAATTAAATTGAATGTTCATAATTTTCTTTCAGAACCAATAAATGTGTTCACAATTTTAAGTTTAGCCTCTGCATTTAAGAGGCACCACGAGTGACCTTAAAACATGTATCTAAATTCAGCAGAAATGAATACCAATTGAACCTATCGATACAGCGTTACATTGCATGCATGGAAATGAATTCGTCCAAGGTACTTTTCAATCAAAAACAGTGGACCTGAATTTCATCTTTGACTGAGAGCCTGGGGAAAAGTTGTCGTCACTTCACTGACATTGTGCGGAAAAGATTAACGAAAAACTAAAATGTTTCCTGTTCAGCACTTTAACAAACAGTGCGCTCGTTTTTGCACATCAACAAATAAGGCTAAGGTGGCAACGATTCATTTTTAACTAATAACCGTTTTTGTCGCTATTCGCTCCATCAAAACTATCAAATATCGAGACAAGTACACTTCTTATGCACGTCTTGAGTGGGGTACCTCGTACGCTAACAACAACGCTATGGAGAGTCTCGAAGCAATAGAAAACTTTTAATAAAAAAAATCCAAAACAGAGATCAATATATAGTCACTAAATGTCAATGAATTCCTCCATATTTGTTTAGGAAGATAAACAGAGAATAAAAGACACAGAGAACGATGTATCCCTTTCTGATGCAAATCAGATGTCGCTTATTTGCTAAGAAGGTGCAATCTTCTATTTTGTTAAATACTCGAGTTACTTTGTCCACCAAAGTCCCTCTTGTCAGTCCACCTGGCGTTTAAATCCCAGACAAATAATTATTATCCATCTTAATTCATCAGTTATTTCAGTCGCATTGTAGTTCACACCAATCTGTTCTCTGTTTTTTGAGAATTGGGACAAATCGTGCATTTTGGATACACAACAATTTGTGTCGTGCATTCTTGGCCCTTTTGTAATACAAACATCAGTGAACCTCTACAGTCTGAACAACGAGACCTTTTAAACAAGTCAGTCACAGAAATGCGAACATCATCTCTGTTACTTGTAATCATTGTACTTACCATACTGTGCACTTCTAATGTGCATTCAAAACATCGCAGACGTTCTGACAAAAAACGGAAACCGACACACCACCCAAAACCGTCAAAACCAAAACCAAAGCCAAAACCGAAACCTTGTCGAAGATTGACACACTGCGTGACTGATCAGTGGAGTGTATGGAGTAACTGTTCAGTGGCTTGTGGAACAAACGGAATACAAGCACGTACTAGAAAGGTAAGTTACGTTACAGGCTTTCTCTGGCTAATTGTGAGGAATTTAAACTGCGTGTATGAACATTGGTCATGACCACTAAAAAGGCGAACGAGATCGGTAAGCAACGCGAATGCCACGAATACTAAGAACAGCATATCAGCCGACCATGGCAGTACGGGTTATAAAATCCGCCAATTTGTGTAAGGTGACGGACTGGTTAAGAAAAGGCTGTAGTTATTGACCCATGCATAGGGAGGCCGTGGTTGTGTTTGAAAGACAGTTTTGCAGTAAAATTCTAACTAACTACTTCAGCATATATTTCAATAAGATATTATTGGCGAAACTGAATTATAACAAGCTGTTTTTCCATGAGTTAAACAGTATCTTGAAGTATGGAGTGAAGTGTTTGTAAATTAGAAGACTGAAATCACAAGGATTAAAAACAAGATGGATCAATTGAGGTTGATTAACAATGATAAGAGCACAGTTCAATTTGTGTGGGAAGTTGGATGAATCAGGAACGTTTACAAGGGTTTGGGACAGTATTAGTAAAATAGTTTTGAGAACAAAGGCTTTAGAAGCTCATAAACATTGGATGGTCAAAGAAATGAAAGCAAACACGGACTCCAAGATGAATACGGAGAAGGTAAATAAATAATACATAAATAGTTCTGATTTTATCTTAGCGAATATAGTAATTGTAAGTTGTAATGTATTATTGTAAATAGTCGTGTTCTTAGGATTATTTTATATTTTAATTCTGAATTTATCTTAGCGAATATAGTAATTTTAAGTAGTAACGTTATTGTAGATAGTCGTGCGTTTTTGTCATGAGCCCCTGGCTCGGGAGATTGGGTAGCCACTCCCCACGTTTACGACTCAAAATAAATTTACCTTTACCTTTAACTTATTCATTTTTTTTTAAACAATTTGCCAATCAAAATGCAGCGTCAGTTCATACTGGTTTTGAATTTAACATTTCTTTTATTGAAATCTTATGTAAATACTTGTGATCAGTATTGTTGATTTCTAAATCTTAGAAACAACAACTTGTATCAAGTGACGCCTGAAACAGCATAAAAATAATATATAGATTTAGGCCAGCCTAAAAGCGCAGCTCCTGGGCTAACCCTGGGAAAGGTAGAATTTTGATTTGAGCTTTCAACTTTGCGGTGAGGTTTTCTGTATATTGTTTGGCCTTCTGTTTTGAGTTTTAATAATCACCATATACACAAAAACATTTGTATAGAAGAAAAAGCTATAATTCGGTTAACTTTTAATCTTGGGTTAGCGTTAACCGCCTTCCGAACAATCCTGCCCCGTTTTCAACAACTTAACCTGACATGAGCCCGCAATCCAATCGAAAACCAGCACTTGGTCAGCGGTCAACTTCAAAAAAAGCATGACCTCGATGAGCTGTAAACTAGAGCCTGCAATATGGTCATATGATACCGGTCAGCGGATACCTTGTTTTGACAGATGTCAATTAATCATAACATGGATGTCCAATATCAAAGAAGTTCATGGTAAAGCAAGGGTGCATATCTCTGTCAACCTATTATTTGGAGTGTGGCCGCCATGTTGCGCGACTCCGTCGTCGTCGCCGTCACCGTCGCCGTCGCCGTCGTGCGTACGCGCCCACGAGCAATACCGCTAGCCATGATAACCAAGAGGAAATCAACTCATGGGTTTCCTTTTCTTTCCTATAGCCTTCCTATATGAGTATGGGGCTCCGCTTGGCGTCCCTTCGGGCCGCCGGAGCTCCGCTACTAATTAAATAAAATGTTACCTGGGTAGATTTTTTGTGCGGGAAAAAAACTGCATGTTACACTATCCTCAAAAAGGAATCGTTATCCTTTTTACGTACTAACTTAAGTATTTAACTCTCAATTTATTTTTGACTCATTCATTTATTTATTTGTTATCATCAGGTAATTAAACGTGAAGTTTGTGGAGGTCTTTGTCCATTTGAACTGAAGCAGGTTCGCGGCTGTAACCAATACTGTCAAAATGGGGGCACTCTGGGGCAAACAAGGTGTAAATGTTTGCCTCGGTATGGCGGGCAATGCTGCGAAAAAGGTTTGTGGTTTAACCTTTTATCTTTTAGAGTGTGTTAAAAATTTGTCAATAACCTTTATTTAATCTTTATTTAACCTCGGTTTTTCATGAAGCTTGCTAGGCCTCAAGCATGTGCTGCTAATAATTCGAGAAAATAACTAACTAAATAAATACATAAATAAATCATCATAAATACATGAATAGATAATTCCTAAAACCAAAGATAAATCCTAAAATAATGAGAATCATTATTAAAGTGACCTTTTTAAATGGACCTATTTTTGTCATTGATCTAAGTTTGCCTGCCTTAGTGGATACATAAACCATTCCAGGCTGACCGAACTCTAGGTAGAACGAGTTTGACGCCATAAAAACAGACTAATGGAGCAATCAGGAGCCCTCTTAGATTGTTAAGCTCAGTAAGATACAGTGGTTTTATTGAAGCTTAATGTTAACCTCGTCAAGTAAAATACCTCTTTCTCAACAGTTTATAGTTGTAACTGTATAAAAACCAAAACCAAAAACAATGGCGTTTAGTGAATAATCACTGTATTGAAATCCAATTCCTTGCACTACTTTCATCTTTAGTTCACGGAGGATGGAGTTGCTGGGGAGTATGGGAAGACTGCAGTAAAACCTGTGGTGGCGGCATACAGAGACGTTGGAGGACTTGTAATAATCCCCTCCCGGCCAATGGCGGAAGGCCGTGCCCTGGGACGAGAGTTAGGAGTAGGGAGTGTAATGTCACACCGTGTCCAGGTAACTCTAATTAGCATTTCATTATCACCAGCTTGAACCTTTGTTTACATGGTTTCCTGACCAGCATAAATTTCATTCAGCCTAGTAATCATAAAAGAACAAAAACCACGATAGCCATAAAAAGTCATCCAGTCAATCATTCATTCGTTCGATCGGCCACTACTACTGTTTTTATTCTGTCTTTCGTATTTATGTTCTTCTATTCTCTCGATCTTTTTTTTTTTCGTTTGTTCGTTCGCTCATCTATTTAATTTCCCTCATGAAGTCAGCCTCCATCTTGATAGTGCTCGGACATGTTGATCTTCAAATTTGCCTTATTGAGGTTCTTTTGTAAATATATTCTTTAAGAAAGCGATCGCTTTCCGCCGAATTTCCTGATAACGCCAGCAGAAGATAAAAGGGTTTATAGAGGAATGCAGGAAAACGATGAAACCGGCGAGATAGTTTGCAGCTGAGACTTCAACACTGTGGGATCTCCATGCTTCTTTCACAGTAAAAGAAGTCAGACTTGGCAGCCAACAAAACACAAAGACAATAAAGACGTAAAAAGTGTTGAAGGTTGATCTTTTAAGCCGAGCCATATTCGTTGCTTGATTATTGCCGTGAGTTTGCAGGTGGCTTTGAATCTGATTCCGATGGCGTCGAGCAATTCGAAAAATCTGGTAATATGCAACTGTTGTCAAAAACAGGCCACTTGCTTCAAGAGAAACAGCCACCATGTCATTGTATTTAGGCAATAAAATGAAAATCGCGGCGGAGATCGTGCTCGTTATCCATAGTAGTATTACAGTGATTATAAGGCGTCTTGGTGTTATAAGTTCTGAATATCGTAAATGTAAGGAAACGGCAAGAAACCTATCCAGAGCAATGGCAGTCACTGAGAAAAACGATGATGATGCGAATACAACGAGCAGAAACCAAAACAATGTCATCGTAATTGGACATAAGAAGTCGAAATTATGGCCGCCGTTCTGCTCTGTACTCAACATCAAACATGTAATGATAATAAACATTGGTTGTGCGCACAGTCCTACGGCGAGATCGGACACAGCAAGATTCAGAAACAGAACTTTCATGCTCAGCGTAAGGGATGAAGATTTCCAGAGAGCGGGAATGACGAGTAGATTTCCAACTATTGTTACGAAGGAAGACACGATATTCATCAAACAAAGGGACGTCATGAAAGCTTGATGGAAAAGAACAAGGTTGACTTCTTCCTGTAGCTTATAATCACAGAGTTGGGCGACCATTTCAAATCCGGCTTGGTAAACTGTGTCTAGTTAAGAAAGTCGAGAAGCAGTCGAGCGATTTGTATGAAACTGATTTGTCCCGCAAGGTAAACTAAGTTGAAGCAGGAAGCTGCCCTCGCAAACAGCTAACTCAACTTCTTTGAAATGAATTGCACAATGCCTTTTGTACTATTTGGAAATTGTAAAAGCTGTTTACATATGAAGTTCAAGGTTTGTAAAATAAACACTTTGCCGAAGACAATGAAAGCGAGGAGTGCAAAGAGCTCCACTTCTTCTAGTAAATTCTATCTTAACATTTAATCTAGAGACAGCTCTCGTTGAAGTCAACTAGCTAATTAATTAGCTGCCTGACAGCTTCGTAATTGGAGTAAAGCCGGCAGATCTTTGATATTAGCGTTGGTCAAAAAAACTAACCGTTCAACTGGAGATTATATTCGAAACGAATCCCTTCAGTTTGTTTTCCTTTTAAGTTTCTAGCGGACAAGAAGACCATCTGTCAAAACAGTAGGAAATACAAAATAAAATAAATAATCAATACCTTTACTTGAACAAACAATTTCAAGAAAGCCGTGGACACTTGGTAAACTGCCGTGTTCCAGATTTAATTGAATATTATGATTGGATGGGTGTTCTGACGATTTTTGTGATAAAATGAAACGTGAGAATCAGTAATATTATTTTGCATCAGTTGAGGCAAATTAAATGATTATTCTTTTAAAAAATGAATTTAAAAAATTGTTCGGTCTTAATTATTGCTTTTTTCGATATAATTTGTAAACTATTCAATAGATTTTTTAGGTGCTTTTGTTGCTCGTAAGCTTTTAAAGTCTTATGGGATATCAATTTAAAGATTTCTTCGGATGGCCGCGTGTTTTTGTCAGTGGGAGGAATGACAATAGATAATTGATACTACTCTTATATGGTGTCCGCCAAATTGAGAATTGGCGGTTCAGGAGCTTTTACACAAACAGTCCTGACAAGAAGGCAGAAACGAAGCGGAACTGATGAAAATGAACATGATATTAATTAAAACGTGAAATAATTAGCTACAATGCCCTCTGTTGTATTTTTCGCATATTTTGCACAACAAGAAAAATGAACACGTCGTAAATTTCCTTTCGAAAGTTAGATATCACCCCCTCCCGTATTTACCTGAATACCTTAGACATTCTCCCACTATGTGTGTTGCCTTGCACTCTGTTTCCCCCTTTTAGAACCCCTCGTGATAATTATTGAGCAGTCTCTAATCACCGTTCAGTGACAATGTGTTTCAATTGCTTTATACAAATTCTAATCTTGCCGTTCATACATGTTTAAAGTTCCTCTGAATAGACCATTTCCGAGTTACCCAGTGCCTCCGTCTGTTTCAAAACGAGTTTTCGTGCAAGACCTTTCTTATGAAAATGAGTTTGATTTGTATGAAAATGAACCTGTATGCAGAACACATTCCAAATGAATGGTTTCGACTCGTCTTGACACAGAGGCAAAAGGCAATTCGGAAATGGTCCATTCAATTTGTTATTTCAGTTGATGGAAACTGGTCGGCCTGGGGATCCTGGGGCGACTGCAGTGTCACGTGTGGCGGAGGAACTCAAAGGCGCTCTCGTTCCTGCACCAATCCCCCAATGGCCCATGGCGGAAAGCCTTGCACCGGACAAAGTACAATGATACAAGATTGTAACATGCACGTGATGTGTCCAGGTAATCTATACCAGTACTCTTGATTAAGTGAACACTAATATGGCCTTCACAGTGAACTGCAAGACGCGTAAGTTGCCTTGTGACCTCACGTCATCTACCATGGTAGATGGAATTTAACAAGTTATTCATTTGATTCATTCAGGTAGAAATTCAGAACAGATCCGTAATTTAAACCAATTAAATTCAGTGTAAAAATGATTTCTTGAAATTGCTAGCTGTGTGAAAAATTTCTTATCCTCGTTTTGCGATCGAATGATCTCTAGCAAACATATGAAAAATATCCCGGGCTAAATTACCTCTTGCTTAGTGATTTTCCTATCAGTTTGCCTTCTTGGTATCAAGATCAGCTACTCTCTGGTCAATATGATTACGTTCTAAATTACTAATTTTTTTCAGTGAACGGAGGGTGGACAACTTGGGAAAACTGGAGCAAATGTAGCGTAACTTGTGGCGGAGGAACTCAAACGCGTTCTCGTTCATGCACCAACCCACCCGCGGCCCATGGTGGCAAAACTTGTGTGGGTCTCAAAGAAATTACACAGGACTGCAACAAAGATGTGTTCTGTCCAGGTAGGAAGAAGGATTTTGAGTTTAACTTGAATGGAGAGCTTGGCCCTGCACCCAGTCACAAATGGAGGGTAGGGAACCTCAACTAGACTTGACCCTGCTAGTAGCAAAGTGAAAGCACCACAACGTTCCGATTCATAAAGCTTTGCATACAAGATGAAAGATAAAACATCTTAGATTATCGTATCATTACTAGATATTTAAGATCAGCTACTCTGACTCATTGCTCTGCACAATAACTTTATACAGTGAACGGAGGTTGGACAATCTGGGGACGCTGGGACAAATGTAGTGTGACTTGTGGTGGAGGAACAAAAACGCGTTCTCGTTCATGTACCAACCCACCCGCGGCCCATGGCGGGAAAACTTGTGTGGGTCTGAAGGAAATGACGCAAGATTGCAACAAAGACGTGTTCTGTCCAGGTAGGCAGACAACTCGCTGTTGTCAAGTATCACTCATTCTTTCGCGTCTTCGGTCAAGCTCTCACTGGGCTCGTTCTATATCCTCCTCTACGACGTCTTCGTTCTCCAGCGGCCTGGCCTTGATGGCTTTTCTGCATGCGATGGTTGTTATGACATTCCATAAATAATCGTAAATTTGTGTTGCTATTTAATCAAGGCCCACATCATTCGCATCATTTTTGCTACCACTGGTCAATCTAACTAAGGGCCTTAGATTTCCAAGTGGTCAAATATACAATTCATGTCCGTTGTAGCTTTTTCAACCTGAGGGGGGTAGTAAATCCTGAAATCGCAGAAAATGGAGGTTAGGCAAACTAAGTTCGATCTGCTAACTATCCTTCGACTTGAATATCAAGCGTACTCTTTTCAGGAGTAATATGAAAGCCCTCCAGCATTCTGGGTGATAAATATAACCAAGCCTTCCAAAAAATGACAAAAAGATATTTTCAGAAGTGGTTTGTTATGATAACCTACTCAGAGGTCACTAGATCTTAAGGAGAGTACAGCTGCAAAAACAACACAAACTCGGCCTGTTGCTAAATAGTAGTTGTTTCTTATCCAGTTAATGGAGGCTGGACAACTTGGGGAAACTGGAACAAGTGTAGTGTAACCTGTGGCGGAGGAACTCGAACACGTTCTCGTTCATGCACCAACCCACCCGCGGCCCATGGTGGTAAACCTTGTGTGGGTCTCAAAGAAATTACACAGGATTGCAACAAAGATGTGTTCTGTCCAGGTAAGAAGACAATTACAGCTTTTCATCTTTACGCAAAATCGTTGTTAACATTATCATTTTCTTTCCAGTAAATGGTGGCTGGACGACGTGGGGAGACTGGGACAAATGTAGCGTAACTTGTGGCGGAGGAACAAAAACACGTTCTCGTTCATGCACCAACCCACCCGCGGCCCATGGTGGCAAAACTTGTGTGGGTCTGAAGGAAATGACACAGGACTGCAACAAAGATGTGTTCTGTCCAGGTAGGAAGACAAGTTACAGGTTTTCATCTTTACACAAAATCTATACAAACATTGTTATTTTTTTTCCAGTGAATGGAGGCTGGACGACGTGGGGAAACTGGGACAAATGTAGCGTAACTTGTGGCGGAGGAACAAAAACACGTTTTCGCTCATGCACCAACCCATCCGCGGCCCATGGTGGTAAACCTTGTTTGGGTCTGAAGGAAATGACTCAGGACTGCAACAAAGACGTGTTCTGTCCAGGTAAGAAAATACGTTATAGGTTTTCTTTTTTAGACAAAATCCCTATCAACACATGTTGTTGGGTTTTTTTCTTTCAGTCGATGGAGGCTGGACAACTTGGGGAAACTGGAGCACATGTACTGTAACTTGTGGCGGAGGAACTCAAACACGTTCTCGTTCATGCACCAACCCACCCATGGCCCATGGTGGTAAAACCTGCCTTGGTTTAAAAGAAATGACACAGGACTGCAACAAAGACGTGATGTGTCCAGGTAGGAGGACAATAGCTGTTATTACAGTTGAGCCTGCGGTCTAATATTCCTTTGTTTAAAAAGGCATACAAACGAGGCGAACGGGTCAATACAAAGCACAATTGACCCATTCGCCTTGTTTGTATGTCAAACCGCTGATAACTGTAATAACAGCTATTCACAGCTTCTCTGCTGTGCACATTATCACTACAAACCGTTTTTTCCTCTCCAGTGAACGGTGGCTGGACGACGTGGGGAAACTGGAGCCAATGTAGTGTGACTTGTGGTGGAGGAAGTCAAACACGTTCTCGTTCATGCACCAAGCCACCCGCGGCCCATGGTGGCAAATCTTGCATGGGTCCGAAGGAAATGACACAGGACTGCAACAAAGACGTGTTCTGTCCAGGTATGAAGATAAGCTATAGGTTTTCTTTTTTAGACAAATCCCCTATCAACACATGTTGGGGTTTTGTTTTTCAGTGAATGGTGGTTGGACGTCGTGGGGAAACTGGAGCATATGTACTGTCACTTGTGGTGGAGGAACTCAAACGCGTTCTCGTTCATGCACCAACCCACCCGCGGCCCATGGTGGCAAAACTTGCGTGGGTCTGAAGGAAATGACACAGGACTGCAACAAAGATGTGCCCTGCCCGGGTACGTGGGCAACTTTTCTAAGTTCATTTTGACCGGTAAATTTTATTCAACGCTCTGTTCGCAGGGCAGTGATCGAATACGGATATCGGCTCGAATTAATCATGGCAGAAAGTTTTCTCAAGGATCAGAAGTTTGCGACTTTGAAACATGAAAAAAATGAATATATATTTTGAAATGTGTGGAAATGACGCTTCATATTCATCAAAAAAAATGAGATAGGCATTGTTCTTAAAAACTTTAACTGCGATCTTACAAACTATCACCTGAGTATCTTGGAAAAAGCCTTCAGCAAAGTACTGTCCTTGCTGAACTTCTATTTAAGTTAAGGACATTTTTAACAGGTTTGTGTTTGGAAGTATAATGATTTGGCAGAGCATTTTCGTGCATTTCCCTACAAGCGGAGCAAGCTTCACCGAACAAGAACGAACTGTACAGATCGTTCTTGGAAAGTGAATTAATAAACAGTCCTTGTTTCCAGCCTAGGGTAAAGTTAAAAGCGCTTTGCTCCAAAAGGATCAGCGGTAACAGGTAATTTTTTTCTAGTTGCAGGTGGCTGGACTGTCTGGGGAAACTGGGGCGAGTGTAACAAAGACTGTTTAAAGACAAGAACAAGATCTTGCACCAGGCCTCCTCCATCTAATAATGGCAGAAACTGCATTGGTCCTCCATTACAAACAGTCAATTGTACTTTTGATGAGTGCGTGGGTAGGTGTAAGAACTTTGAAACGAAAAAGGTTTCAAAACACGATAGGGTGGTATCTGATTGGCGTGACAACTCTGTCCGTTAAGCAAGCGACAAATTCAACAAAAACCAACTAAACAGACGCAACCAAAAAAAAATTGTAGACTTGCCTATTAGTATTTGAGTTTTAACTGGACGTTTGTTTGACGCTTGTTATATTTTAAAATTGCCTGTCGGTAAAATAATGACAAGGGCTTGGCAAATAAACAACTAACTAACTGACAGACTAAGCTGCCAAAACGCTTCGTATCTTAATCTTAAATTTCAATTCCACTTGCTAGTCTTACTAATCAAGTACATTTTAACAGTTTTTGCAGTTTATTAGATAAGATAAGCGTGCTTATGTTTCAGTACAGCTTAAAAAGAATTTTTCTCTGCAAAATTAAAAGTTGCTTTTGACCTTGACGACAGGAGCTTTAACACTAAGTAAATAATACTCAGCTAAGACGCGTTGAAGAAGAACTTAATTAGAATTCTGTCGCTGGTGAGTTCTTTCGCTCCAGTTGGAAAATTTGCAACACCGTTCTAGCTGTTTGATTTCGAAATCACTCTCTACTCAAGAAGTGTCCTGCAAATTGGGAGAAGAGCTTTATTTTTTCCGGCCAAGACAATGTTCATGTTTGTTCTTTGTCTTTGCGCTGTAATTGGTATGTTGAATGCATTTTGTAGCCATTGCAAGAGTTGTTTGCTTTTTAGGTTCCTTAACGAAACGATTCTTACAATTGAGAATTAGTCAAAAACAGTTAGAGAGGCCGTCATGTATAAAAACAATTAGTGAATAGAGGCAACGAAGGAGCTACATCTCTTGAGTAGACATGTTACATTACAGCACCTCGCTAAGTTTCTAAGTGATGGAGTGTGATCCTTGCTACGGAGGTATTTGGAAACTAACACAAACTGAGAGGTTTTGTAAGTCCACTACTTCAATTAGTGTACTTAAATTTATAAATTTATTCTGAACATCTGCTGTTTTATTCAGAATTAACGTTAATTACCAAATGGGAGAGCATGCACTATAGTCAACGATGCCTGTTTCTGATATATGATTAAAAACTCACGAAGTTGTGAAAGTTTCCTAAGAATTCCAGTTTGTTGACAAAAGAACAGATGTCTATTTTTGGAACCTAAAAGGAATCACCTAAAAGCTACCGTCCAGCGCAGTCTCCAAACAGCAAAACTGTCACTGATGTTATTAAACTCTTTTAATATGTTCACTAAAGGTCTTACTAATTTCTGTGTATACTAGTAGCTAGGTATAGTGACAATCCTGCTCTATGGACGCCCACTTAGTATGGTCAATCACTTATTACGGACAACCTTGTTTTTTCCAACCATAGCCTCACGTTTTCTCTCAGTTTCATTAGCCTGCTTATTACGACACAGGTTAATGCGAACAACGGGCACTTTTTATGTGATCTTACTGGTGCACTCTCACACAAAGTTAATCTGGCTTTACGGACACTGGGTGCTCTGTGAACTGTATATTTTCGTTTGTCACGATTACATGCTGATTGTATCCTGTAATAAAATCAAAGCTTTTTTCAACTTTATTTAAGTCACAGACTATCTAGTGAATGATTAATTCCAAACCACTGCACCTGACTGTTTGGTTAAAAACTTTGTTTTTATGCAATGACTTACTAATTTTCTACGTGTACAATTTGACTTCAGGGGGTAATGGAGGCGGTGGAAAACATGAAAATGGACTTGGAATCAGAAGCGACTCTAGTGAGGGAGGCTCAGGGTACGCTGAATTGTCGACGTGGTCTCTGTGGACCAAATGGAGCGATTGCAGCAGCAGCTGCGGCGAGGGAAGCAAGAGGTTCCGACAACGCACGTGCGGTAACGTCATCAACAGGATACACCGGAAGTGTTCGGGAAACAGTTTACAGATTGAATCCTGTACAGTTCCACCCTGCTGAAAAGGATCAAGCTGTTAGCTCAAGAGTATGAAGGGAACTTTCAAACGCCTTTTACGATCCACTTTTTCTGAAATTATAGCGCTAAACTTGAGGAAAAAAGCTGGAATTCAATTTAGTAAGCGGTATTCACGAATTTAAAATTAGACGAAGTGCTTTCTCGTGTATTTGTTTCGTTCTGAAATTTATTCAAAAATTCTGTCCATTAACACTGGTCCACTAAATTAACACTGGTTTTTTACCCCCCAACACCTTGTGCGAGCCTGTAGAGAGTTCAAGAGCACGCGTCCAGGCCCTGTGATCACTGTAGACATGGCTCCTTACCACAATGTCCTTTGTTCATGGTCGCTAAGTTGGTTGGCGCGTCTCGTTGTACGGTGCTAGTCAGTAGAACATCTTCATATTAATGGTCTTGGGTAACTGGGCGCGTTTCCTCTCCTTTTGCCAGTGTAATAACAGACGTGCTTAGAAAGTCGTGATTTGTTGGAAAAACTGACAAAAATGTGGAGGGGTGGGATATGTGTGATATAGTCTTACTCATCGTTGCTTTGGTTTAAGACTTTTGGTTCGAGAAGGCGCTGCTGCTTAGAGAATTCTTTTTGCCGTTAACATAAGAAGACTTTTTATGGAATGAAAATTACTCTAATTTTTATCCAAAAACAATAGGAATGTCCAAAACTCAATTTAGAAAGTTGATCTCTTTGAACAAGTGCCACGTTGCTGTTCAGGGTGCAGCTTATTGTAAGGTATTTTTGCTGTTATTTGCATCGCTTTTTCCGTGTTGACGCTTATGAATTGAGTACAGCATTTATTACCAGATTGGCCGCTTATTCGAGTTAATATATTAAGCATGGTAAAAGCAGGTGCTACCTCAGGAAAAAACACTTTATAAGCTTCGGGGTTAGATGCTTCTGGCAGCTCGTGCTTACTGGGTGTCCGCTCGTTCCGATACAAAGTCGTTCGAGACAAATTGAGGTAGAATCGATACAGATGTAAAGTCGATTCGATACAAACTGAAATCAATTCGATACAACCTCCCTTCACCTAAAGAAGTTTCGTTTCGCTACAGAAACTTTGCACGCAAACTTCAAACTAAGCAAACACATTGACCTGTCTTGATACCCGGCAGCCGGGAAGTGTGTTCTCAAAAAACTACAATCCTGGTGCAAAGTCCTTGGGACACTTGACAAAATTCCAACTGGTGACGCATTATTTTGTAGTGGGAAATCTTTATTCATTTCACCGAATCCCCCCTCCCCGAAAGTGATGTTGGACTAGCAAAATTGTGTTGAGGGTGGGGAAGGAGAGGTGGGCAGGAAGACCATATTAGGGCAAAAGTACAAATTGACCGGGATTGTTGATAGCCTCATATAGTTAACTTGAGAATTCTGGTTTTAAGGCCGCCGCACACTAGCCGATTGTTTGTGGGCCGACAAAAAAAATCATCACTTGTCGGCTAGTGTGCAGTGAATTCAAACAAGTCTGCGACAAGATCGGGGCTTCTCGGGCGATATCTGACAGTGTTATTTCTCAAAACGTTTTGTCGGGCCTTGTCGGCTAGTGTGCGGTGGACCAAGACAATTTGTCGGGGCTTGCGCGCGTCTCAACCAATTAGGAAATGTCATGAGGGCCACGTCAGTGGAATAGGCGCCATCTTGATTTTGGATGACTCGGCCTTAAGCCTCAACGCGGTTAGTTGCAACAAAAAATCGGCTAGTGCGCGGCAAGCTGATCGCCTGACAAATTTTAACCCGATTTGAGCCCGACAAAAAATCTGCGGTTCTACGACAAAAAATCGGCTAGTGTGCGGCAGCCTTTAATTTAATGAAGACTACATATTCTGTTTAGAATAGCACAACTATCATCCTATATCCTACCATCCCATACGTGATTTCATATGTGATTTCAGCTGTTATCTGCATGTAATTTGTAATTTTAATCTGTATTTTGCCACGTGCTAATTTTTATCGGCTCATTTATATTGCGAGATATGTTCTAAGCTCTCTTAATATTAGCTCTGGAGGGACAAAGTTTGAAATATTCCGTGAGCATGTTGGTTACTTGCATTTTGTGTTGTTACGTCGGGACCGGCTGTTTGAACTGTTGCAAGTTATACAGCTTCTTATCACGGGTGTCATATCTATCTTTGTCCTGCTTCGCCAGAGAGAGTTCTAGCTTTAATTGGTTCTTGCGTCAATTTTATCGAGCTTTTTTGCCCCTTGCGTTTGATATTTAGGTTTGTTCCAGATATTTCCGTTCCGTCACAACATGGATAGTAAACAGTCTTTACTATCCATGGTCACAAGGGTACACTGCACCAGAAGTTCGTGCCAAGCCGCAGAATGACTCACATTCTCACTCAGAGTATTTTGAAAACACCGGCAACTGATGAGATCCACGTGGAAGATCGAAACCATGGTCTTGCCTGAACAAGAGAAAATGAGGAGACAGAGAGGGAGGATCCCAGTCCAGGCCTTGGGATATGTCAATTCCGCTAAAGTTATTTTAGGGTTCCGCAAAACAGCGGGAGTGCATTTCCTTTTACGTCCGCATGACACCATTCTTCAGGTGATCAGGCAACTGAGAAACGGCGGTCCACGGGGAAATACGCTTTGTCGATAGAAGCCCCTTTTACGGGTACAGAGTTAGTATTTCTGGATGGATAAATCAAAGTAGGAGATTCACAACCCCTTGGGAATAAAATGGAACGTGCAGACGGGCGGAAATGCAGTTCTGAGTGGTCAACAAAAACAACAAAACGTTCCGGCGGGGCATGTGATAAAGGTCGTGGCTGCTGTTATGGACTATGCACTGTGGCTTTTATTTCTGCCCGGGTTTCTATCGCTGGTCGCTTCGGACCGAGCTACAGGAGTTGTTCTCTCGCTGTTCCAGTATTCACAACTAGTTTCTGTTGCTACATTCCCATGATCCGGCCATGCGTCTGCAATCATAGAGGGTCCCCAATAGGTTTGGCGGGATGCGGGATTTGGCTTTTTTTTCGCGGTGATATTTGGGATTTGAACAGAAAACAGGGGCGGGAAGCTGGAATTACAATTACGAGCGGGAGCGGGATTTCGTGTTTTTATGGGGTTGGGATGCGGGATTCGCAACAGGAACAGAGCGGGATAAAAGAGGACTCAACAACAATTTATTGGTATTCCCATACAGATCGTGTTACCTAAATACCGAATCGCTAAATAAAAATTCAAAAACGAAACAAATTACAACAGCAACCAGAAAGAAAAATAAACATAGTTACTGGTACAAGATTCTTCATTTTAAGTCGGCTAGGGTTACAAAGTTCTCTTATTTGTAGTGCTTCATATGTAAAGTACCTAGTTTTTTACAAATAAAAGTGTTAGCAATATTGTTTTCTCTGTGTTATTAAAGGAATCAAATTAGAACAGAGGAGTGCGACAAGGATGTATTCTTTCACCATTGCTATTTAATTATATCTAGATGAATTTCCACGCCTACTAGAATCCTCAAATGGTACAGATCCAATTATTTTACCAAATGGGTCTCCTCTCAATTGTTTATTTTATGCAGATGATCTCATATTAATATCAAGCAGTTCTGCTGGTCTTCAAAACGAACTTAATACCCTCCAAAATTATAGCGAGAAATGGTTATTAAAAATTAATCTAAAAAAGACGCAAACCCTATTTTTCCAAAAACAAAATCGTAAATCAACACGTGACAAATTTTCCTTCTTTCTAAATGGAACTCCAATCGCCAAGGCTTCACAGCACACCTACCTTGGCGTTACTTTTAGCACTAATGGAAGCTTCTCAAATTCTAAAAAGGCTTTAGTTGAGAAGGCTAGAATATCTATTTTCGCATCCAAACGTTATCTTGATTTCAATAAACTTCCTATCAATATGTGTAATAAACTATTTGATACTCTATTTTAACCCATGCTTTTATACGGATCCGAAATCTTGGGAACATATCTCCAATTTTCACATTTCGACCCTCTCCCCTTTTCAATGTTGTAACCACGTGATAGTGTCCACGGAGCGTATTTCAACATTGAAAAGGGGGAGAGGGGGGTTTGGCTATCGACAAAAAGATGCTTTTTGAAATTACGGAAGGACGGCGATAGAAAGCGTTTGTTTTGCTCAAATGTTTCAACACTTTCGTCCATGATTGTAGTTGCTTAGTCGCTATGCCGGCATTCAAGATAATTTCTCTCGCTGAGCGCTACTCTCCAAGGTATTTGTTATTGTATTCAAAATTATTTCTGTCACTGGTCTTCCCACTTTGAGCTGTTTTGTTACTGGATTCCAAGTTATTTTTGTCGCAGGTCGCTTCGCTGCCTTACTTAACATGCGGCCAACGCCAACTTATATCTTCATGACAGTGACCAACTCTAAAGCTCATTGGCTACTTTGGTCACTGTACACAACTAAATATTGCTTTTTCTAGTTCATTTCTATTTGTATTTTTTTCTGTATTATTGTAAACCATCTTATGTTAAGTCGTTTTCTGTAAGCAGTGTGCAATAATAAAAAATGAAACTGCTGCGAGCTATTTCGTTGTCACTGTACCGCTATTCGACATTATTACTGTCGCTGATCACTTCGCTCGGAGCTGTTGTTTTGTTGAGTTATTTTCTAGGCTGATCGCTACACTCCGAGTTGTTTTATCTGCGCTGTTAAAGGGGCTCAGTCTCGGTTTGCGCATATTGAAAAGCTTAGCCTCAATTTTTCAAATTCGTCGTTTGTAATCCGATCCGTGTTAATCTTCTCCATCCTTAGCCATCCTTGTTTCTTTATGGTGTTTTTCTATCTTATTAATTAAGCTGTTATTTTCAGGTTTTCTACCATTTAAAATTAATTTTGTAGGTGGCCAAAATAACTCAAAATATCGTGACTGAGCTTGGTTGGGAATTGCTTTGTTGTGGTATAGTATTCAAATTGATTTCTGTCGCTAATCGCTAGTCCCCTCATTTTCTCTTGGACTGAACTAACCGAACAATGGCATATACATCACGCAAACATTTAACAGATTTGCGCTTAAACAGCTACATTTGACTCATGTGCCAGAACGACTAGCTTTAATGCTTTGAGCTAAAGATAGATGCAAGAAACATAAGAACGTCTCCAGGCAAACGTATAGCTTTCTCGAAGTAAAGCTACGGCGTCTCTGAAGAAT